GCAAACTGAAAATGCCATAGGCTCGCATCTACAAAGGCATGCTGGAAATGAGTGCTGTGTGATGACTGAAATCTGTATATACAAGTTATTTAGAAATATATATACAAGACTGTGTGTTGCATCTTACATGGAGGGATCTTAAACTATTTCACAAACACAAGTTTCTCAGAATTGTTGTACCCAAAGTGCGCTCCTTCTGTAGTTTGTGGTGATACAGCAGTCTTCATCCATTGACCTGGATGTAATTTTGATCTCTGTTTTGTCTAACTGGACAAAACATACTCAAGAAGGTGAGGGACATGTGCCCACCTTTGGCTCTGTTGGTTGTTTTAATCCATGAGAGGTATCGATGTTCTACTTGTTCTCTTGCAAAATTAAATCCTTCTGTAGAGCCAGCCTTTAATTGCCTGTAGTTCTTAGACAGAGCTTGGACAGGGACCGTAAAAGTACTTTGATAAATAGGTAGGACTAGAGAAAACGATGGTACCTCAGCTTTGCTCCCCCTCTCCTGCATCTGTGCTTGCTCAGCCTGACTGCAGTATATCACGGTGGAAGGGGACACGTTGCCTGTCGCGGGGGAAGTGCCAGGGAAGCTAAGTACAGTAAGAAAATACAGTAATGCCACCTTCTCAGCTAGACCAGGAGCTATTACTGGAGGACTGACTTTATTTCTTATAGTTACCTGGAGATTTCTGTTTCTTTGAAGCTGAGGACAGCACAGTGAGGGTGTGGGAGGTAATGTTCAGTGAAGGGAAGAGAGGCAGAGGAAAAGCAGAGTTTGTACTAACAGGGAAAATGAGCTGAAGGGAAGGAAACAAATCTTACCTCTGGGTGGTAAAAAGTTGGATGCACATTATAGACTAGTGGGTGCTATTTTCTGGAGAAATGGCGATATCTACTAGCAGGTGATCTGGATTGCAGTACTAAAGGCTCATTACATTGTTCCCGATGCTGCTCCAGGCTTTGGTAATTTCACATTTTCTCTGTAAAGAAATAATCTTCTGAATGAGTTTTACTGTATAATTTTCAGTGAATGTAATTTAAAAAGACTTCAGTAAAACAGCTCTTTACCCCTTGAAGGAAACTGAGAAGTAAGAGGTCAAAAATTAGTGATCTAGTTTCACGTTATTAGATTTCCCCCGACCAAGGCAGCAGTGAATACACTGCATTAATAGAGCACCAACTATGTAGAACAAATGGATTATGATTTTTTTTTTTTTATGGTGGTACTATAAATACTTTGTCCCTACATACCTTTTCCATTGGAAGTGAAGAATAACATTTAAACACATGTAAAGAAAGCACATAATCTTACCACCATAAAAGTTGCTTTCACCTTCTTGTGACTGATTAGGGACATGGGGACTTTTTTTAAGCATCGGTTCTTTCTCCTTGAAGATTAAGGCAGATGAGTGTGTTACAGACACTGAACGGGAAGGGGTTTCACACCTATGATTATATTGTTACTACTTTGACCTTAGTCAAATTGGGGGCATTTATATACTCTTACAAAAAAAGTGACTCGTTTGAGAGGGCACAACTGATAAGAAAGGAGTGGGCTAAAACTGTGATACTCCATGAAATTATCTGACCTCAAATGCCTGGAAGTTAAGAGGAACACTTCCACCGGCTTGTAATCTGGACATGGCTCAGTCAAGGGAAAAGCACACATTTCATTGGTTTTCTTTTCCTTTTCAGTGACTGTCCTCTTTTTTGTTAAATGAAACATGCTATCTAGAATTATCTCATTTCTTATACTTTTATTTGCTTTTCTTTTTTTCACTTGATAATTTCTCAGTTGTTTTTCAGTTAAAGTATATACATGCTATCATAGAGTAAAGAAGTTAGGTTTACATCTCTTAAATTTTTATAAAAACTTGGGAATTTTTGGAAAAGTTATGAAAAACAATTATGATGCCCTAAAATCTGCCAGGATTATTCTACTGTCTATTAGAATTGATGGATGAAAATATTGCAGGAAGAACAGTAACGAAGGAGTTTCAACAACACAGAGGCAAGTATTTTATGAAATATTTATGTATAAACTAATTAATGAAAATAAAATCAGAATTATATTTTGGTTTAAAATTTGCACTACAATATCTTGGTGGGGGAAAACCCCCTCATATTTGATGAAGAGCTTTCTGAGGTAGGAAAAAATTTCAGGCAGGAGATTTCTGCCTGTTTTAGCTGTCAAACAAGAGCAGGAAATTGAAGTCTAACAGCTACATTTAGCAGCAAAAGAATAATGTGCCTGCTACGGTCCGAGTGGCAAAGGGCAGGCACCATTTCTTCACCGGGCACCAGCGTGGTCCCTGACTGTCCCATTCCACTGCACTGCTCCTGCCCAGTGGGCTGGGGTCTCTGCGGAGGGCTGGGGACTCTCTGGCGGGCAGGTTATTGCAACCTCGTGCCTGAAAATGTTCCTGAATGCATTCCTCTGTAAGCAAAACCCTAATGTGTTTTTTGGACAGCCCTGAGCGTGCTTATGAATAGTTCATAGCAAAAGCTTCCAGGGAGAATATAAAAAGCAATTAAATCTTAATGGCTCAATGTTTACATTTTTTGAACTACAGGTTGGAAAGCCTGAGTGCAAATTGTTCAGACACAGCTAACATTTTTGCTGTAAGGGGATTTGTGATAAGCACTGGGCAAAAAAATGTATCTAACCAATCTAGTCTCTCGTTTTTTCATATGCATTTTCCTTGTATTGCTAGAAGTGAGGGTTTTCAGTTATATTTCAGAGGACAGTTCCTTCAGAAGGAGGTCCCAGGGAGAGGGGAGCCTGATCTCACCCAGGCAAGGAAGTCAGGGTGAGGATGCTGTCCCCAAACACCATCAGGGTGCTTAGACACCATCACCATGGGAGCCACATACTAATAAAACAAGACTCAAGTGTGAAGTACTTTATTCTTGGTTTTTAGGAACCAGTCCCTGGGGACTTGGGACCCACCTCACATAAACCTGCTAGCAAACTTTCATGGGTATGTTATACCAAGTCAAGCAGCAAGTTTCATCTCCAAATAAAACTTCCCCTTTGGCACTAGGGAGGATGACATCTTTGGTGCCTTAAGCTTTTTCCTGCTCCCCGCTGGCCATTACCACTTCAACTTGAGTGTAACCCAGGGGCCAAGAGACCCATCAAGGGAGGCAAAGGCAAAGGCTTTCCTTTCAGCCTTGCAGACTTTGTGTCTTGGTGCCTGAGGCATTTTTATTTATATGAAAATAGAGTAGCAAGCCACCACATGCAGTCTTCCTCATCTTGTCCTTCTGGCTCACCTTGACCCTGCCATGGAGAGTTCAGCCATGCTTGGGACACAGCTTCCCAACCAATGGGTCTGTCAAAGCATGTTGGCCAAGGGGGAAATGGTTCTCTGCAGGCACTTGCATGAGAGTGCTTGCCCTCAGAGGGTACCCATCTGGTATGGATTGAAAGCAGTGGCCTAGAGTTATGTGGATTCTCGGCATCACCCAGACTTCATCTGCTTAGCTTGTAACCTTTGAAAAACCCACATCTGCCTTAGGGAATGGCCTTAAATGCACAAAGCCGTGACAGTGATACGAGGAGTAAGAGCCTCTCTTGGCATGTAAAGGTTGTTATCTTGGCCAGCTCAATTTCATTTGCTCTTTTCTCTCACTGTATTTGATTTAGTCTGCAATCGATGATAAAATGAAAAGGACGTGGGTTTAGTCCACCCACAGACTTTTACTGTGCTGCTTGGAGAAGCCAGATCTGCAGGGTTCTGCTCGTCTGTGCTACGCGCTGTGTGGTGCGGGAAGGGTCTAACCAGAAGTCAAATGCTGAGTAGTCCTTGCCTAAAGATTGCTGCTCTCCAAAAACACATGCTTCCTGCTGTCTGCTGAGAGAAGTTTCACTTGCTCTTGCTCTTGCTACAAGCAGGACAGCTCTGCTGCTGATTTCGGTCAGAACAGGATTAGAACTACTAATCATCTTACTATCAGTGTAGCTTATGATCTGGTGGTACAGCGTGGCATTGAATACAATGCAAGTTTTCTTTCCTGGGCTAAAGCAAAGTAACTCTATTGCAGTCTTTTATCAGTGGGAAAAGATAAAGCTTAATGAGGACATTTTCCAGGATCTGTCAGAAAAAAAAAAATTTTAATCTCCACAGGTGTTTTAAAATACGTAAGCACCACTTATACATGTGTGTGTATACACACACACATCTTCAGTTCTGTTTTTTTTAGGGCAGAAATGTAATTTTTCTTGTTGCTGAAGTGTGTGATATAGGCCACAAAAGCAATCTGTGCCCAAAATACTAAGGCAAATCTTTCAAAGAGCAATTAGTATAAGCAGAATATGTTCTTTCTTCCTTATTGAGATCACGTCACTTTTGCTGACAGCTTGACTTGTGAAATGAGCATGCAGCGAAGTCCGCTGCCAGTGTGTTCTCTATACAAAGTATTCAGAGTGGAAGTATGTGTATGTGTATATTTTTCTGTACCAAGACCAATGTAACATCACCACAATAGATTTTGAAGGATTTATGAAATGAAAAAAATCCTTCACACAATGAGAGAATACATGCAGAGCTGTACTGAACTATTTGCTCTAACATTTAGTTTAAACCTGGTTAATAAACCACCTAAAACCTAAAAATTAAAAATCAATCTGCATATTTTCCCTTTGTGCTGTTATAGGTAGACTTATGATTGGAATCTCAAAATACTAGAAACTCAAGCTGGAAATAGGAATGTGCACACAGCACATTTTTATTTTGCCGTGAGCTATGTTTGGTTTCGGGTGAAGCAGTTTGCGCATCACCACAAATTGATAGTATAGAATGATGAGGTGAGCGCAGCCATAAAAGAAACCTGGATTATACAATAAACTGGTCCCATTGGGATCAAATGCTACATACTGAATTCTGTATTTATGAGTTTTCAACACAGTGCAGCTTTCCTCACCCTACAGTTGTGTACTGGGAAGGAGAGACTTCGTTATAGACCAGAGGTTCGTAACAGGAAAGCAATTCATTATGTGCTTCCAGGGCAGCGGAGACGCCCACGCTCGTTGCCTGCATCGTTGGCACCATGAGAAGGGGCTGGGCACTGCTGAAATAGATATCAGGTAAGATAAAAATATACAGACAAGAAGGACTGGAGAAAACACTTTCCCCTGTAAGTTTTCAGAGTTCAGTAAAGCCTATTAGAAAAAACAAAACAAAATGTTTGAGAGGCAACTTGGCTCCAGAGAATAAACACTTACACAGGGAAAAAATAATGGGTACCAAAGGGCTTTTTAGTTTAACTCTGAAAAGTATAATGAGATCCAGCGGATGGAATATGGAGCCAGACAAATTCAAACTGGAAACATGACCTACATTTTTAATAGTGAGTGTGATTAGCCATTGGAACAAAGTACCCAGAAAGTAGTGGATTCTCTCCTCTTGATGGTTTCGAATCAAGACTAGATGCCTTTCTGGGAGATAAGCTTTAGTCAAAAATAGTTATGCTTTAGTCAAACACATGTTACAGGGCTCAATATAGAGGTAATTGGGGAAATGTAATGGCCTGTGATATCCAGGAGGTCAGGCCAGATGGTATAATGATCCCTTCTGGCCTCAAACTCAATGAATCTCAGAATGAATATAAATGCTATCATCTGGATGTGCATTTGAAATAATTGCAGGCAGAGATTAGACACGCAATTGCATATGGTTCAGAATTGATAAACTTTCCTCCCCTCCAGAACAAAGGCCCTTATTTATGCCTAATTACATGGTGCTGTTGTAATTCAGAGAAATATCCGTTAGGAACTCGGATGGGATGTCAGCAAATCAATTTTAACTACTGTGCATGTGTTGTGTGGAAATCTAGTTTCTAAAGCTTATATTCAACTCCAGACTTGCTCGCACAGGAATGTATCCAGGAAGAGCTCCAGCATGGACATTTATTCCACCCTGAGAGTGTCATTATATGATTTAGCCCTGTTGACTTTGAAGTTGATTCAGTTAAATCATAAAGACATGGAGGTCCTGGTCCCCAAAGCAGCTGGGTGCCTAATGCTTATGACTACCCGTGCATTGCTGAATTTTATGGGAAAGGGTTGTTGAAAGAGTAATAATAGAAAATAAAAAGGTTCAAGCTTCTATGAGTAGTTTTGCTTATGCTGACCTTATCGCAAATGGCATCTCCGCTTGGTAATGCACATGCACCTGCAAAATAGCCAGCTATTGCAATGCTTCTGGAGAAAGAAGTACGAAATATTACCCGGTAAAAGAAACCGCATTAAAACATAGATAACTTTTAATATGAATTTCACCGTAGTATGTAGCTTTCAATTTTAGTGTTATCTCACTCACAAAGCATTCAAAACAACTGCACAGGTAAGCAGTGAGACCACACAGAGGAAATAATATTGTTAAAGTTCAGTGAAATGTCGTCATTTATGGTACGTGTGTATCTACCTGTGCTCAGAAGACAAATGTTGATGAGTATAAAGAGTTCAATTCATAAAAGTCCATAACCTTTTGTATTCTCAATCCTCCCCCAGAATCAACTCTGATTGATGGCACCAAACACCCCATTTCCAGGTGATGAGAAACTTTATTTTTTCAAGTTCTGAGCACTGTACAGAAATCCTCACAGTAGCTAATGTGCCACTCGAAGACTTAATATTCTGATGTAAGGTCTTCCCTAGGCTGTATGTTTAATTTGAAAGGGGCAAAAGCCTGGATCTGCAACCACCCTCACAACTACCCAAACATTTGAGCACTTCTGTGACAGCCCAGTCTTACAGGTTGGCCTTTCTCAAAGCGAATGATATCTGAACATTGTAGGTATCCTGGAGTATCTGGAATTCACACCTGCATCCAGACTGTATTTATTATAACCATCTTTTATAACCATCTTCCTTTTTTTTTTCTCCATCTTTTTTCCCCAAGCAACGTACATAGAATATCATGACTAACACGGAGGCTGTAGAAATATATGCTAATCTGTGAACTGTAAGCCAAAATTTCTTTTGATTCTCCTTCTGTATTGATGCTCAGAACCTTACAGCTATTTACACATTTGCTAATTGTAGCCTGCTTTTTCCAACCTCTTTCATTTCAGCTCAAAAGGGAAACAAGATAATGTTGACTCTGCAGGTACTCTGTAGAATGAACAACGTTTTACTGAATCTCAGCATTACTTTCTTATGGGAATAGTAAGTCTCTGTCTGCGGATACTATTCTATACAGTTGGTCTGAATATTTTGTTAGATTATGCTAAAAATGAAAGTGACACGAAATAATGAAAATCATATTTAAAGTTAGCTGTGTTTTAATGTGGCATTTTGCCAGTTAAATATTTTTTCAAAAACATTGCAATAGCTGCAGATTTTGAAGCTGCTTTTTCAGTGCTTCTACAGGGATGGCATTTACGATAATACTGCTGTATCAGCAAAACTATCAATACAGGTATTTTACTTTTTATCTTGCTTTATAGCCCTTTATACAAGGCCTTCCTATAACAGTTCTGCAGTAGCATTAATTTTGTAAAGGTCCTGAAGGTCATTCTTATTTTCAGTCAAATAACAATATCTGGGAATTTTAATGATGCTCTTGCATTAGTGTTATAATATTCAGAATTGTTATAAAATTCAACAATGTATGAAAATGTCATCGCTAAGGATGAATGAAGCAGCTCATCTGAAAATGAAAATCAGCTCAAATCTTTGCAGGTGTTCAAAAAACTTAAGATAATTTCATTTTGTCTCCCCTACCTTCACTTCTCAGGTACTCTACAAGTTCCGGTGCCTGAAATATCATCATAATTGATTTTTTCTAGACAAAGGAAGTGCTTAGAGCTAATTATCTAAATTTAAGTACAGCATTTGGTACAGTGCCATGTGGGAAATTATTAGCTAAAATGGGAGATTAGTAGAGAAATTGAAAAGTGAATAAGAAAGTGAGTAGTAGGAGGAGAAGATCAGTACCGAGGGAAGGTAGTAGAGCTTCCCAAGCATCAGTCTTGAGCCTGATATTATTTAACATTTTTTATTAATGATGTTCTCATACAAAATAAGCGTGTGCTAATGGAATTTACCAGTGGCATAAGGGAGGGAGGTACTGTCACTGCAGAGACAAATAAAACTCTCATTTAGGAAGAACTGAGTGACCTTGAGGACCAGAATAGGATAAATCAGATGAAATTCAGAAGGATTTGAGTGCAAGTTCATGCATCTGGGTCTTGTTAACCAGGTTTCTACTATACCTGCATGCTCATAGTTAAGAATAAGGTGAGGAAAGACACAGAACATACAAAGCAAGGTATTTTCACCAGGGTAATGAAACGCCGGTAACGGTGTATGAGGCACGTGTTAGCAATCAGCCAGGATAGCGCATGCTATTCACAAATCATTCACTTCACTTTCGGGAAGCTACCAAAAAAGACGATTAGAGTGACCATGGGAAGGGAAAGCCCTAAGTGTGAGAGGAGTTTGGCAACATGAAGGCTGAGGGAGGCCGCTATAAATACCGCATAGGCATAAGCTCCAGTAAGAGAAAACATCTATTTGAACTAAAGGACAACATTGGCACAAGAACAAATGAGTATAAATTGGTCATGAATAAATTTAGGATGGGAATTGGAAGCAGTTTTCCAAACAACAGAATAGTGATGTTGTGCAATTCCTTTCCAGTGAGAACAGTGAAAACAACAACAACAAAAACCCCAAGCTACTTTTAAGACAGAATATAATGAGTTTCTGAAAGGGATTATATGATGTGTTTGGCTAAGATAGCAGGGAAGTAGACTTGATGACCCAAGAGGTCTATGCAGGCCTATCTTTTTAAGCCTGTTTTTCATGACCAAATATTTCAGAGCACTTTTAAGTGCTTCCTTTCCTTCATGTATTTTTTAGATAAATTATTTTATAGTATACTGCAGGGACTGCTAGCTGGACTGATTTAGGGAAGGCACAAAACTCTAGTATCCAGAATATGCTGAATACTTTCCAGACAAAACAAGCGAAGTGTCCAGTGTCCTACAGGGCAAGGCTCGGGGTGCTTGGAGAAATCAACATTTTCAGTGGAAGGCAATGGGGACTAAGTCTAAACAGGAGCAGCACCCCTTTGAGGCTTGGTTCTCTTGTTTCTCCTACTCTCCCAAGCCTGCTGCTTTATTTTGTAGTTTGCCTTCTCAGCCCCAGTGCACATATGCGGCAGCATGAAATAGGATGGCAAACAACACTTTAGATGCCTAATATTAAATGGATAAAAAAATGGAACAGTCGCTGTGAGTCTGACTGGGTGCCGACAGTGCGAAGATGCAGTGAAGATGGCTTGTCTGGGAGAAGGAAGGAGTTCTCCAGCCTCGGTGGTGTAGTGCAGAGCTGTGCTAGCAGTGTCATGATTTCTCTCTTCTCAGCTCAGGAAGCACCTATGTCCTTTTGTTTGGTTTATCCTTCTTGATTCCTCAATGCTTGCTTAGTGTCCCTTGTTCCAAAATCCAGAATTTCCATTACTTCTTAAAAGCCGTGTATCCCCTAGTCGATGTGACCATAAAGGGATTTGTAGGGAAGCCCGGACTTCAGGGTTCAGTAGTTGGAGTTTTACGGGTCCCCTACCCACAAAAGCAAAATTAGGTGTTTACAGCTCTTTTGCAGTAATAGATACTGCTTCATCAAAGTGCTGGGAGCATGCAGGCTGGCCTGGTAATGTGACGACTCTCTTATTAAGGGAGCATGTCATAGCCAAAAGTTTTATGAGTTTCTACCTATGCTTTAGTTGAAATCTGATAAGTGAGGCAATGAAATCTGCAGAATTGGATGATTCTGGTTGTTTTTCCTCTCCAGCTAACTACACACATACTTTTTCTGAAATCAGCGGTTACTATTGAGAATACATTAAGAAATGGGAAAGTTAGATGAAATCACTAAGAGTACAGGTAGTTTGGAAAAGGAGAAGAAATAGGCAGCAGCTTTACGAGGAAGCAGTGCTCTGCTTACACCTTGTCGCCATCCACATGAATCACTTTTGCAGTAGGCAGCAGCTCTACCTTTTTGTGTAAATACTTTAACAACTGGTTTAAAAAAACGAGCAGGATAACTGAGTCCCTGGGTTTGCGTAAACGGGGTAATGAACACCTGCATAACAAGACAGAAAAGCCATAAACACCATGTTGGAAGTTCTCAGTCCCTCTTCAGCTGAGGTTTTCTGCAGCTTTCTCAGCCCCTCAGGTGCCAGGCAGGGAGGCAGCCGCTTGCTGGGTTCTCCCTGTGGGGTAAGAGGCCCATGGTGCCTCCAAAAACTGCAGCTCTGCCGTCAGTGACTTTGGTACAGTTCCCCATATGTGAGCTGCCCTGTGACTCACTGGTCAGAAATGCTCATCCCTCAAAAGGAAAAGCTAAAGCTAGTTTGAAAAAAATATTTTCAAGAAAAAACTGTATTAAAGGTCAGAATTCAAAGACACGCACCGTGAAATGATCAAGAGAAAACATTTTGATTGATTGAAACTTAGAAAGAGCAGCCCTTATTTTTGGTGGGTTTTAATTTAATTTTTGTTCCTGAAATATGTGTATCTAGAGGGCTATTTTTTCACCCATCCTTAACTTCAACGAGGACACAGCATTCTGTGAACACCTGGGTGAGATGATTTCATTCTTCCCTGTCCTGCTAGCAAACTCAATTTAAAACAAATCAATCATAAGCTCGACCTGTATTTATCGCTATATTTTAGTGAGTTATTACTCATACACCCAGGTGTGAGAACGTGGCTCATCAGGGGAGCACAGCGACCTCGCGCCAGAGATGAATTCAGCCCTCAGCTCGCTGCAACCCAAAGGGGCCGACGCGGTGGCCATGGTCGCAGGGGCCGTGCCGCTTTGTCACTGCTGTGCAGTGCTGCTCAGCACCAGGAAACATGCTCGTTTTTTCCATGGGTGGAAATATCTATGGGGCTATAAAAGCACATTTTCAGCTTGTTTGCAAACAAACAGACTTGTTTGCAAGCACGTGCATATGGGAAACTTTCAAGTGACAAGTGTACTGAGGAAATGTCTGTGACCACAGCAGGTGAGAGAAATGGCTTTTTCAGACAGGTCTCTGGATTTTGGCTGCCCACTCGTGCACCACACAAAGGCGGCAGCAGTACTGATGGCGTCAGGAAGGATGTGAGGGGCCTCCTTGCAGCGCTGAGTCTGTTGTCTGCCTCCAAGCAGAAGTAATGAGCACTCCTGACATTAACAGTGATTAAACACCACCAAAGCCTATGAAAATAACCACTCACGAAGTAAATCAGCCAGGGACCGGTGATTTTGGGTACTGGACCAGCCACTGTGGAGCAGGGGCCGTACTCGGTGCCTGTGGCCTGAGGCGAGTGGCATGATGGGGCGAGGAGAGCGAGACCAGCTTGCTTCCTCTAATTTCCCACCCCTGGCGATTTTAAAAATAGGAGGTTAAAAAATAATCCCTGCTTTGCAGAGGGCCTTTGGGGTGTTGGCTTGCCCTTCTTTGTCCCCCCTTAGGTTAATGCCAGAGGAGACAAGCGCCTGGCGGCAGTCGCTGACGGTGGTGTCACGGTCCTGGCCTCCTTGCCCTGACTCAGGGCGGCCATCGGCCCTGTGGCCATCATGCACTCCGTCATGTCACATCCCTGCCGAGCGGGGAGCCACATGGGTGAGGGTAGGCTGTGAAATGACACCTCTGCGCGCGAGCTGCAATGCCGTGAGCATGTTACAGCCTGTGAAAAAGGAAAACAGAAAGGGGCAAAGGAAAAAAAAAACCAACACAAAAAAGCTGTGCTCGTTCCTCACTCTTCCCTCGGCACTGTCTTGCCCTGTGCAGAGGCTTCAGAGGTGTGAACACATCCTGTTTACATCTGCCACTGAGACGGAGATGCTGAGGGGAGCACACGGCTGAGGGGCAGTCGGAGGCCGCGCCGGGGA